ACTAGGGGCGCCTGGGTGGCTCAGTGGGTTAAGCCACTGCCTTCGGCTCAGGTCATGATCTCAGGGTCCTGGGATCGAGTCCCACATCGGTCTCTCTGCTCAGCGGGGAGCCTGCTTTCCTTCCTCTCTCTCTGCCTGCCTCTCTGCCTACTTGTAATCTCTCTCTGTCAAATAAATAAATAAAATCTTTAAAAAAAAAAATAACTCATTCTAAATTCCTAGGAGCAAGAATAAATTTGATAAGAACTATGGAAATCTCTTAAGTATCACTTGCTTTCTTGGGAAGTATACTCTTTTGGTAAGCAAACCATCTACAAATGTTTTCCTTTCACATCAGTGACAAAAAGGTTAGCAACTTAAATTTTGCATATATATATATATATATATATATATGATATGTTCTAGCATAGATCTTCTGATCATGTTTTATGTTAAAGAATTGAATGTTTTTAGGAAGCACACTTTAGACAACTCTGAGACACAAAAGAATTTGGTAAACTTGTTCTAACTTTACAAATTGAATTTCATTTCCCCTCCAAAAAAGCAGGAATGGTAAAAATCACTTTTTCTCCCAGATTTTTTTTTAAATGAAATTTCTACTTGAGAACAGTTGTAGATTTACAGAAACATAGCAAACTCCAGAGAATATACCCCACACCCAGCTTCCCCAATTATTAACATCCTACATTATTATGGTACATTCTTTGCAACATTGTATATATTTTAAATTTAATATTTAAACCAGCCTACTCTAAATAGAGGGTCACTGGGGCAATTTATATGGGACAGAATTCAGTACCTGGTGATTCTAAGTTGGATTCTACCTGTGAGGGATTCCCAGGGGACCCGGCTGAGTGACAAGGAGCAGAAGGGACGACATGGAGCTGAGCAGCCTGTGACTTGGGGAGGGAGCTCTGCCTGTCATCTGTCAACCAGGGGAATTAACACCTGCCCTCAGCACTTACGGTGAGCACTGCCCGAGACATTGGTGGTGAAGGCCTTTGCAACCCTAAAGTTCTACAAAAATGCCCGAATTACCATTTCAAGGAAGTTCCCTTATAAGCAGGGGGTTCACAGACTTTGTCACCCAAATCGGGACACTCTGAGTGTGGAGGCAGGGATGGTCATCATGACACAGCACAGACTTGCATGGGGATGTGTGGGCTCAGGTCCTCAGATGGAAGGAGCTCTTAGGGCCCCAGGAAGGAGGTCAGGGGGTCAGGGAACAAGGCAAACTCTGGCTCCCCCCGAAAGCTGCCTCAGCCAGGGAGGGCTGTGGGGTGAAAGTGAGGTTGCCTTTGGGATGGAGGTCCTGGGGGTCACCACCCCTCTCATTCCACACGCCTGGGGTCAGGGTGGGGAGAGAAAAGTGGAAGCGGCTATAGAGGGAGGGGCATGGGTGAGACAGCAGGAGAAGAAAAAACAAGGTGGGAAGCGAAAGAGGGGAGGAGGAAAAGGAGAACGTGGGAGAGGAGGAGACAGTGGGGGACGAAGGGAGGAAGGGAGCGAGCAGGACTGAAAGAAGAAAGCAGATTTCGTCATTGACCCCAGTGGGAGCCGCACCTTAGCAGCTCCGGCCAGAGCTGGGCTATGGACTGGGAGAGGTCAAATCACACATTTTTTTTGGCCACCATTTGGAGCCTGACATCTGGAGGGCAGATGTGGCCCCCTGGGACACTTGGCTGGCATGGATATTTCCCCCCACCCCCTCCCCCCAGCACCTGGGCTCGGGAGGCCCCAAGAAGGCCAGGGGGCAGCCTCTGAGCTCCCCAGGACAGCGTACCCACTCTTCCTTCACCTCCTCCCGCCGGGAGCCCACCTTTCTGATCCCTGGGTTCCTCTGACTCTTAACATTCTCTGCTTAAAGAGAGACGGACGTCGTCTTTGGAACCAGGCCCATGGGAAGTCCTGCAAGTAGGAATTATGGCTCCTCAGGCTTCCCAACCCAGGGGACATCCTGGTCACCCCATGTCCTGCAAGGAACCTTCCTGGACAGAGGTACCCAGAGGGGACCCCTTCCACCTCGGAGCTCTGCCTCTTACGGCCGCTACTCCATACACTGGGCTGCAAAGTGTTTTTATCCTTCTTAGCATTAACAGAGAACAAATTTTGTCTCCTTAGAAATGGGTCTGGAGGACAGGGACGGAATCCTTACACGGGGGCCGCTTGGAGCTGCTGGCGGGGACGCAGAGCACAGCATCTGAAGCCGGGGAGAGGGCACAGTGTTCTCCGACGGGCCTCCCTGACTCTGTGGTCAGCGCAATGAAACACATGTGTTTGGCAGGGGAGAGGAGGAGGCCAAGACAATGTGGCCCAAAGACTGTACTGTAGAGTATTTGGAGGTTTTGAGGATGTAGTCTGTTAGGGAATCCCAGAGCAGACTGGCTCTTGCTGAAATAGGGCCCAGAAAGGCTCGAAAGGAGGACACACAAATAATGTCCCAAGCCGAGGGCTCTGCTCGCTAATGCGTGTGGCCGGTTTAAAGGTGAGGCTCCAGCCTCAGACTGACAAGCACCCACCCCACACCCCGGAATCTGGGTCACGCTGTGGTCCGCCCACGTGTCAAACTCTCCTTTGCAAAGGTGCATTCTCCAAGAGCCTCGAGTTTTGAGTTCTCTTGGCCCTTTAAGAGGCTTCACTCCACTGACAAGCCAACAGAAGTACTTCAAATTCCTTTTAAAATCTCAATGGCCAGCCCTTCCCAGAGCTCGTGCCTGGGCCCCTGGATGTGCACGGCTGTGTACTCACCTTTTAGGCCGTGGTCCACGTCCCCCTCGTGGTCTTGCAGGAGGGTGTAGCCCCCCTGGGAGGGGAGATCAGAATCTTCCATCACAGTGAACTCCTGGCGGGGCTCAGCCATCCTGGGTCAAGGCCCACCTGGGGAAGGGAGAGGGCAGGTGAGCAGGCTATGCTGAGTTGAGTGAGGGCCCTAAGTGGGGGGGTGGCGGGGAGAGAAGTGCCTCCTCTTCTCTCGGGTCGGGTCGTAGCAGACCCGGGTCGTAGCAGACAGCTCTCCGCCTCCCCAGCCCCTTCCCATGGGATGCCCAGCCTCATCTGATGTGCCCTTGACCTTGATGGGCATTCTGAATTCACCTGTATCCCATCCATTCCTAATCAAAGTCACCTAGTGGGCAGGTCCCGTGGGCCTGACTTGGTAAGCCCAGCACTCTCTCCACTTCATTAAAATATAAATGCTGCTGACTAGTAGCTTGAATTTTTAAATTTTTTAATGGAAAGGGTAAGACCAAACAGGTGAGGGGACACATCAGCAGGTAAGGAAAATGAAGCACAGAGAGGCAAACGTGATCTTCCCATCGCAGGACAATGGTGAAGCAAAACTGACTTTTTTTTTTTTTTTTAATGAATTTATTTATTTATTTGACAGAATGAGGGACATCGAGAGAGGGAGCACAAGCAGGGGGAGTAGGGGAGGGAGAAGCAGGCTTCCCGCTGAGCAGGGAGCCTGATGTGGGACTCGATCCCGGGACCCTGGGATCATGACCTGAGCCCACGGCAGACACTTCACAGCTGAGCCACCCAGGGTCCCCGGACACCTTCCTTTTAAATTACTTATATTATTTATTTTCTACTTTATTTTGATTCTTATCTCTGAAACACTCCTGTCCTGGTTGCTTCTACTTCCGTTCTTTACCTTTCTGTAGTCTTTGGTTTTGGTTTTTATTTCTTACCCTTTAAAAATCTCAGCTCTGTCTTGATTTATTTTACATGCATGCATGTGATTCGTTACATATAGCTACAGAAGTATACAGAAGTATACATAACACTACACCCACGGAAACATAAGTATATGTAAATAAATCTTTGTAGTAAACACATATATGTGTTGACTTATTTTACATGTATTTATTTACATCTTGATAGTTTTTTGTTATTTTTACTTTTAATTTTTGCCCCAGATCCACGTCAGCTTTTCATTTAATTATTATTTTACTTGAGATAATTTTAGACTTACAGAAGAGTCGTAAAAGTAGCCCAGAGGATCATTTTGTTATTTCTAACCTTTTGAAATCCCTTTCAAATATATTTGCCTATGTTATCCTTCTATTTTTTTCTGTTTATATTGTGCTTGTTTTCTTCTTATAATTGTAACTTTTATAATTTTTCTGCGAGGGTACCTGGCTGGCTCAGTCGGTGGTGTGTGTGACCCTTGATTTCGAGGTTGTGAGTTTGAGCCCCACGTTGGGTGTAAATACTACTTAAAAATAAAATCTTAAAAAAAAAAAAGTGAGCTCAATGGGACCTCTGCTGGGTGGGTGGTCTGACCCCACTTAGGTATTTACCGCTTATAGAGAAGGGGACTCTTCTCATTCTGACTGAGGACGCTGTCACTCAGGGAGCTCTTGGCAAAGGCATCCAAGACTGAGGTTCTCCAAACCTTTGACATCTCCCCAGCCACAAGCAGGACTTATTTTGGGGAGATCAGAGTCCCCATTCACCCCTCAGGGCTTAGGATTTGGTGGCGATATTCTCTACCCTTAGATATGCTAATGGTCTGTTGCCCTTAGAAAGCCCCCAAATGTCAGAACCCCTCTTCTAAAAGGGAACAGTTCCATTATCTGTGAGAACTATTGCTCCCTACCCAGCATCTTCCTCGCTGATGCAGTCTCTTAGGGCGTCCCTAGTCACCACCCAACGGCTCGTCCCCGAGACTGGTCCATGAGTCACTATCATCTGGCTGAGTCACCAGATGCCTCACCCAGGATGGGGGGGGGGATCGCCCCAGAAGTTGAAGTCCTCCCAAATCGGCTGGAGACACTACACCTGGCCCAGGTGAGCCAGGCTAGCCAACTCAGGCCACCCCGCCCAGCCGCAGCTCAAGATTCGATAAATCTCGAGGTGCCTGGGTGGCTCAGTTGTTAAGCTTCTGCCTCCGGCTCAGGTCATGATCCCAGGGTCCTGGGATTGAGCCCTGCAACGGGCTCCCTGCTCTGCGGGAAGACTGCTTCTCCCTCTTCCACATCCCTCTGCTTGTGTTCCCTCTCTCGTTGTGCCTCTCTCTGTCAAATAGATAAATAAAATGTTTAAAAATAAAAGATTCAGTGGATCTCAGTTAATGCTCAGAAGTGTGATGAGCTCAGGGGTTTTGGTCTTCAGAATGGATCAATTCCTTCCAATGAATTACCAAGTTTCCCCACCTGGAACATGGTGAAAGGAGGCGTAGAAGTAAAAATCGCATGGATTGGTTTCCTCTTTTATAAAATGCCCGTTTATAGCCTTTGCCCCTCTGTTCAGATCTCAGTCCTCATCATAATGACCTGAGTGAGCTCTTCATGCATGAAAAACATCAACCCTTTGTCATATGTGTGGCAGAAAGGTTCTCCAGTCAGTTACCTTTATTTTGGTTCCCGATGGCTACCGAACTGCAAGGTTTTTGTTTTTCTTTTTTAATTTATTTGTGGGGGGAGGAGGATTTATTTAGATGTATGACATGAGGTGAGAATCAAAACATTTCCTCCCAAATAAGAATAGTGAAACCAAAGGCCCAGCCCTATTCATAGAATCTATCCTCTCGCCCAAGCAAACAAACCAGCTGTTCTGCCCCATTTATCCGTCCGTTCTGGTGCCAGAGCCGCCCCCCCCCCCTCCCACCCCCGAGTGAAGCTTTAGATCTCAAGTTTTATTCTCTAGGTGGCCATGGACACTCTCATTTGCTTTTTCAAAAACCGTTTGACCTTCTTGCATGTTTTCTTTTGCAGACGTCCTTTAGAATATTTTCTCTCAAATTCTCAAAATTCCATTGGGATTTTGGCTGGAACTGTGTTATGTGCCAAGATGATAAAAATTGCTCCCTTCAGAATATTTGGTGTTCCTATTGCAAGACCATAGCGTTACTTCCCATTCATTCTGGTTTCTAAATCTTTCTGTCCCATACTTTCCTGCTGGGGATGTCACTCTTGATGTCTTGCCATCGTCTATGCTGCTTTTGTGAGTGGGACCCTTGCCTTCATGATGCTGATGATTTACGAAGAGCTCTGGGTTTCTGCAGCAGAGGTGATCGGGCTGCAGCGCCAATGCTGGGACTGGCCCAGAAGCGACAGGTTCCCCTCAAGGTCTCCGGGGAGTAAACATGGGAAGCATTTTCTAGGTCTCTCTCTATCAGACGGTTGGGATCCCTTAGCAGAAAATCTCTCACTCAATGAGCTTGTGAAAAGAAGCTGGTAGAATTCAGGAGGTTTTGCAGAAGAATGCAGGCATGGGAGGGGACATTCTCCTCTTTTCTCTAACTCTTGAGGCCAGCTTGCCCCCAACACAGTGGTTGCTCATATTTTAAAATCACAGGTTTCCAGTTCTTCCAAAGGAGCCTGGGAGGTGTGAGACGCCAGGAACTCCCACACACTATATGGCTTGCCACATTCGGCTCATGGTTCAGTCGCAAAGTCCCAAAGCCCATCCTCCACTTATGCCCTGAATATATAAGCTCGCCAATTAAAGTTCCCTTCCTCTGACAAACGACACAGCCACACATCCCAGCCCTAAGACTTTCAGCCAAAGACAGCAGCCTAGAAAACACAAAATAAGCACAGCCCCGAGGTGGGTACACAGCCAGACTAGACTCAGCCACCACCCCACCGATCCCTGTAATCTAAAAGGGACGCACAGACCGGAAAATAAACACACAGGGAGTTGTTTTCTTAAGGCTGCCCTCTGCTTTCTTATTCTTCTAAATCAACCAATTTCTCCTCCTTCTGTCTCTCTCATTTCCTACCTCCTGTTCTCCCAGGCAGTGACTTAAAGGCAGTGGAGGGGAGGACGTAAGCAAGAAATTCTAGGAGAGGCACAGAAGTTGAGTTAAATCTGTAAGCGAAAAAGGGCCATTTTGGGGGCGCCTGGGTGGATCAGTGGGTTGACGCCTCTGCCTTCAGCTCAGGTCATGATCCCAGGGTCCTGGAATCGAGCCCCGCATCGGGCTCTCTGCTCAGCAGGGAGTCTGCTTCCCTTCCTCTCTCTCTGCCTGCCTCTCTGCCTACTTGTGATCTCTGTCAAATAAATGAATAAATTAATTAAAAAAAGGGGGGGGTCATTTTTAGGCACCCTTGGGAAAAATACCTAACCAGAGGGTCCTGGGGTCTGTCCCTGTCGTCCTGTAGCTTAGCCAGCTTTGGCCCACGAGGGAAGGCGCCTTGTCCTACAGAGTCATACTCCCAGCCTCATGCCACCTGGCTGATGGACAGAGTTGGAGTGGGGCAGGGAAGGGGTCAAGTGTCCACAGGGTGAGAGGGACAGACAGACAAAGACACGCAGGTGAAGAAGACAGGATAAGGGAAGGCCAGGGGGTGAAACCACAGGGAAGGATCAAATCATGACTGCTGCTACCCAGTCTTTATTATTATTATTATTATTATTATTATTGAGGGAAAAGTCACACAACGGAAGTTTAACCATTTTAAGGTGAACAATTCACTTTATGCAACTGCCACCTCTAACCAGCTCCAAAACATTTTCATCCCTCCAAAAAGAAACCCTGTGCCCATGAAACAATTTCTTCTCATCCCCCTGACCCCTAACTCCCTGCCCACCGCCCACCCATCTACTTTGTCTCCTTGGATTATGCATTTCAGAGAACTGAAATCATTGTATATGCGGCCTTTTTGTCCCAGGTTTCTCTCACTTAGCATAATGTTTTCAGGACTCAGGGCTTCATTTCTTAATAAGATTCCACCGTATGGATACACCGCATTTTATTTCTCCATTTATCCTTTGATGGATACTCATGGTCTTTTAATAAATGACGAGTTCGGAAACAAGGTAAAGTGGAATTTTTTATTGTGACTTATCGGATAACGTGAAACCGGTGTGGAGGGAGAAGGAAGGTGTGGGTGGGAAGGGGAAGATGGCGGAAGAAGGAGACCAGCAGG